AGTTCCAAAAATAGCCAACTTTCCTAGGCCAAGCAACTCCAGCAAATTCAGCCCAAGAACAGATTGCAAGATTAAGAAATAAATCTCTCAGAACCCCAGAATTTCATGATGTGTAGCTTTGCTACTATGATGCTAAAATGCATGACTGTATTATTAGAAGGAAATTGCACAAATCAGATTCTACACGGGAGGTGTGCCAGAAGGAAAGCTTTATTACCAGATACTAACGTTTGCTCATTGATACCCAGATAAAAACCAGGACTTCTGCAACAATGCTTTGGATAGAGCAGGGAAGATGGAGTTTATTGGGTGAAAACCAAATACAGCATTTCACCAAAAGAACTTGATACCAACAGTAACCATTGTGGTAGAAATGTTAGTTTGGAGCTGTTTTGCTGCATCAGGGTTTGGGCACCTCATATTCACAGAATCTACTATAATACCAATCTCATTATATCATGGGATAACATGAGACCATGAAGACTGAATGTTAACAAAAAATGACAATGACTAAACCAGGGTTTCTCAAAATGTGAGATTTACTTCCCTTGGGGAGGTGCAGAGTGTGTTCAGGTGAAGTGTGAAGCAAATTTTAATTACATTGCTATAATACATCTCTATTTCCCAAAGTTTCATTGTCTTCTTCTCATGGTTCATTTGTGTTTATTTTGGTGTTTGGATTTTTAGAGATGTGTATATTAAAGATTATACTAAATGGAGGAGTGATTGCAAAAAAAAAATCTATAAAATTGCAATATTTTATTTTAATCAAATGGCACTCTCTGCTAATATTTCAATTTTCAAATTCCTGAACTTTCATACCCTTAAAATTTAGCAGAAACGCATTAAAGTGCAGTGTTTCAAGATTCCAAATATAGCAACAAATCATTTGTCCATTATTTAATGTAAGTTCAATTTAACAATATAATTTATCTAAAAGCCAAAGTATTCAATAAGCTGCCAGCATACCACTCTAATTTTAAAGAAACGTAATTCCTTATTATAGCCTTAATTGTTAAATATATGCAAAAATATATCAAATAAAGGTAAGGAATTGACAGTCAGTCATTATGCCCTCAAGACAGATAAAAGCAAATAATGCAATAAAATAGATTTAATAAGTTCTACTTGGAGAACAAATAGAATGAAATGAAACCACAGGTCTCAATATTGATTGTGTTATCTTATTCACAAACTCTTCAATCACAATTTGAAATATTTTATAGAAAATACTATGCGATAAAGTGCACCTTTATAAATCAACCGAAATGCAGGTTTCCAGACTAAAGAGAAAGGAGTTAGATGAAAAATGGAATTTGGAGCAAACCACCTTGATAGGAAAGGACAAAATGGCAACAGATACTGATGCAAAGGATAAATAGGACTATAAGGTAGTTTATACATAGGAAATGAGGCATTCAAATAGAAAAAAAAGCTATTTGAATCTTGAGCTATTGGAAATGAAGATGGGGTTAAAAGAAGTATGGCGGCTCAGTGGTTAGGGTGCAGTACTGCAGGCCACTTCAGCTGACTGTTATCTGCAGTTCAGCGGTTCTAATCTCACTAGCTCAAGGGTGACTCAGCCTTCCATCCTTCCGAGGTGGGTGAAATGAGGACCCAGACTGTGGGGGCGATATGCTGACTCTGTAAACCGCTTAGAGAGGGCTGAAAGCCCTATGAAGCGGTATATAAGTCTAACTGCTATTGCTATTGCTAATGCAGGGGGGGAAATGAGAAACAATAATTAGTGAAATGAATCAGGATGGAATTGATTTAAATCAAGTGGATTTAAATCATGATTTAAATCATGATTTAATCACTAGTAAAAAGGCTTGATTTAAATCAACTCAGTTTAAATCATAATTTTTAAAAAGCAACTATCATCTCTGTCCCACAACAGCTCCTCCTCTCACCCACTGTTGACTCACCCATTCACTTGGGATGGCTGGTGATGTGGCAGTGAAACAAGGTGAGGGATGTGGCAGGCAGCAGGTGAGTGGATGCCCACTAACAGGTGCCGCCCTGATGGATCTGAAATGACTCTTTAATATTATGTTCTTTAATATTATATTTATAAGCTGCTAAGGTTTCACTTTCATTTTTACTACTTGCCCTTCCTCCTCACATTTAGAGCCTGGTGGTACAGATGCATTTCTCTTCAAACAATCATAGAGTTTGTGGTATACATAAATTTGCAAAACAATGGGATAAAGGAATGTTCCTGAACTTTGTTTTATGCTTTATCTCATGGTTACTGTGAAAATGCGTGAATGCATCAATGCAGTGCATGTTATCTCAGCTTGCAGAGCTTGGATTCATTCATTGAATGAGTTTACCAAAAATGTAAATATTGCAGAATATACAGCCTCATGCTACATAACTAAGCTCCATTTCATGCTGAATAAACAAAATTATTAATGTATGTTAAATAGAAAACTATCTTTAGTTAGATTTCTACTCCAAAAGCATTTTTTAAAAATAAATTTGATAGATTTAAAAAATTTATTTAAAATTTAAAAATCTGATTTTTTTTAAAAAAGATTTTTATTCACCCAGAAATTAATATAAAACAGAACAGATAGGGGCAAATTCAGTTTACAAATTTAACTAACTTGCATCCTAGGAAAAGTGCAAACTTAAATCATATACAGACAATAACTATTACAAAGATGTGAATGAATTTTGGAAGATTTTTATTATCAGCAAAAAAATACAATGAAATGATCTAACAGGAAGAGAAACAAAAACTGAGTGAAATCAAATTTGACTAGTTTATGCTTTTCTAATTAAACACAACTCAGAAATGGGAGTCCTGTCACAATAAGACCTATTGGAATTTCAAGATGAATTAGGCTCATCATGCATATTACTTATCAATTTTTTGTGTAAGTAGTAATATATATATACTAGTTGTACATCCCTTTATGGAATTCTTTCTTCCTATTTTTAGCAATATCAAGGTATTATTGTTACCAAGCAAACAAGTCCATGTATAGTAATCAACAGGTGTCAAGCTTAACAAGATTACTTTATGCCTTGATTTCTGATTTGTAAAAAAAGCTAGCCTCCTTTGAGAAGCAGACAAGTTACCCCCAAAATATATTTTTTATCAGGGGCTATGAATCATTTGTTGCAAAACCAAGATTTACCAGTCACACAGAAAATACCCATTTACTTAATAAACATCATGACATGATCCAACACGTGTTTTAAATATATATTCTAAATCTTCTGTTAATAGCATTCCTTGGAAGACAATTTGAACTAGAACTTTTTCCCAGATTTGTGAAGTCCGTAGTAATATACAGTGAATTATATTCACATCGCATCTCATTTGTCAAAGGAATATGACATCTCATTCAGCACTATAAACAAGTGGTTTTTCTCTGTTTGTAAATAACAATAGTATGCCTTTTCAAAGCTTGAAATAAAAATGTCAGATATACAAACATCAATTTGCATCCTGCAAAGAATTGGTTCTAATGCTAAATCTATACTTTCATCTTTAAGAAGCATATACTGTGCAAGAGATAAAAATCTTCAGAAGCAGATTGGAGAATGAAAATTCCTTTCCTCCCCCCTTTCTGTAGTCTTTCTTTCAGAAAAAGACTACTAGATAGGCAAATGCTAAAAGCAATAGTTGGGATATTGGGATTTTTAGGCACATATGTAACCTCCCTCAGAAACTGCAAAATGTGCAAAAAAAAGAGAAGACCTTGTATACTTGTTAGCTTGAATAAGCCCCCTAAAAAAGATGATCACTGCTCTGTCCCAAGCCTATCCTATTGCTATTTTAATGCCTTCCAATATTCTATCAAGCTGGCATGTTTATTTTTAGCCACAAAATAATTGATGTACTACCATTACTGATTTTACAAAGCAGAGTCCATTTGTCAACATAAAGTCATTCCAGAAACCCTACACAGTCAGATACATAGGAGGAAGTTGTATCTCTTAAAAACCATATAAATTTGTCTTTTCTGAAAACGGGGAAGGGCAGAGTGCTGAATAATGATGCTCTCTAGAAGAAGGGCAGACTCTAATGTGTAGCTGGGCATGATTACATTCTACAATTAAATAAGCCCAAGGATGGACGCCCTGGGGAGCGTTTGGATGAAAACACAACCCCCAGGCCACGCGCGTGGGGACGTCTCCATTGTGTAGGAGGGATGGGAAAAGTCTGCAGGTGGAAAAAAGAAAGGAACAAGAGCAGACTTCCGGCTAGAGACCGAGACGGTCGTTACAGACCGAGGACGATGACCTTCTCCTGCTCCCCATCCCTTGCATTCTGGCCGAGTCTGCTGGACGAAAACTTTTCCCTGGACCCGGAACTTTGCAAAGTGAGATCCGTTTTTTCTCCCTCTCATCCGGGGACGGCTCTCTGCAGCCGATCTCATTACTTGCTCTGAAGCCCGTGGGCTGGAAGGGAGCCATAAATGCCCGCGGCTCGTCTCTGCAGAAGCTCTCGACCCAGACTAGGCTCTTTCCTAAGCTGCCTACCCCCCATCCACTCGGGGGAAGCCCCCACCACCACCGCTCGGAAAGACCAGAGCGCGCCCGCGTTAGGGAGAGGGAGCCGGGACAGGAACTTCTTTGGACCGCCGCTGCCACCATCCGCTTCCAGGCCGGAAAGTTTTGGAAGCGGCGAGAAGGGAGGAGCAAGAGCCCCGCCGGACGCTGGCGGGAGGGCGGACGGCGAGGACCGAGAACAGCCGTTGTTATGGCAACACCGAGGAGGGGAGGGAGGGGAACTTCAAATCCCAACCGTCAACGCCGAGTGGCTTTCCTTCTTAAAGGGGCCGGCCCACTCTCGTCCGGCCGCCCAGGACAAAAGGGATGGCGCCCAAGCAGCCGAACCGAGTGGCGTAGACTGGATCGACAACGGCCGCCTGCCTTTCTCGGCCCGATTACGGAGAATGACCGCAGCGGCGGCGGGGGTCAGTCCCTATGCTCAGCCCGCGTCCGCCCTCCCGCGCCGGGATCAGCCCGGCTTTCCTTACCCACACAGTGCATAAGCCGGTGCCGCCAGGAGTCGAGCTCGCGGCGGACGCCCCGGCGCTCCGCCGTGCAGCGTGGGCTCCGGCACTGCGAGGAGCCCGGAGCGGGAGCCGCGGCGGCCATTCCGTTTGTTCCCTTTTCCAACTGCCGCTGACCTCACGCCCGCTCATTTGCATGCAGGAGCGCGCGCGCCCCTGCAGGCCCCGCCCAGCGCGCGCGTTCCCCCCTTCCCGGAGGGAGACGCTGTTCCGGCTGCTGGCGCCGACGACCGGGAGGCTGGCAGGAGCGCCAAACAGAGCCAGGTAGACCCTGGCGAAAGCTTCATTCGTTGATGGGTCGCTTAATTAGAAACGACTTTTCCCTACCCTGTAGACGCAGCCACTGCGGGACGATCTTTCCCCAACCTAGTCTTTTCCAAGGTGAACCCCGTCGCCCGCGACACCTGAGCCGTCTACCTTCCTGCTGTGAGTCACCTTTCCTTCCTTCTGCCTTTCCCAGGATATAAGCTGCTTCTTCATGCTGATATAAGTGCCGTCAAGTCGTGGCCGACTCTTAGCAACGGGATCGATTTTCTCCATCCCTAATCTGGTCCTTCGGATCTTCCAAAAATGCACTTATCACCCCTGTAACTGAGTCCATCTACTTCATCCTCTTCTCCGTTACTTCCACCTTTCCCAGTACTATAGACTTGTCCAGAGAGCTGGCTCTTTGGATTGATTATGTGCCACCAAGTCATTTGGTGGTAGTAACCTACCAACCACATGGATTTTGACCAAGACAATCAGTCCCTAACACGGCCTATGCCAGTGATGGGCAACCTTTTTGGCGTGGTGTGTCAAAAATCGGCAAAAAATCGAGCATAACTCGCGTTGTGTGTCACTTCGACAAAAACATAATTTTGCGCAATTGCTGAAGACATTGCAAAAAATGCAGATAGGAGATGGCTTTTTACGGTCAATTGGTGCAATATATCAGCAGCAAACAGCCCAGATCATTGTCAATGGAAGTCTGACAGACTCCTTTCAAATTGAAAAAGGTACAAGACAGGGCTGTCGTCTGTCCCCATTATTGTTTATTATAACTTTGGAAATACTGTTNGTCTTGGCCACTCCCACCCAGTCACATGGCCGGCAAGCCACTCCCACCCGGTCACATGGCCGGCAAGCCACTCCCACCCAGTCACATGGCCGGCACACCACTCCCACCCGGTCACATGGCCGGCACACCACTCCCACCCGGTCACATGGCCGGCACACCACTCCCACAAAGCAGGCCACACCTACAGAGTAGGTTCCAAAAAAGTTTGAAACCCACCACTGGTCCAGTTCCTCTTTTGGGTCGTGACATCCTATGCAAAATGGGAGCTACCCTGTCCTTTGAGGAAGATAAGATGGCCCTAATGATGAGGCACCCCCCCCCCCAGATGAGATATGGTGAGTAATGGTGACTCAAGAGAGCCAGGTCCCCAATACCTGGCAAGAGTTCGAGGTGCACCAGTGTGGGCAGAAGATAATCCACCAGGCCATGCATCTCATCATGCACCAATAATTATACAAGTGAAGCCTCTAGCCATGCCTGTCCGCCTCAGGCAGAAAAGTTATCCTTGCCCCGTTGCGCAGGCGATTCAGGATCATATTGTCAAATATTTGAAAGCGGGCATTCTAAGAACAATACAATCCCCTTGGAATACCCGAATTCTACCCATACCAAAACCTGATGGCTTCTACAGGCCAGTTCAAGACCCGAGGATTGTGAATCTCGCCACAATCACGGTCCACACCATTGTTCCCAACCCATATACCCTTTTGAGCCTCAGTGGTAGATTTGAAGGACGCCTTCTTCACCATCTCAATACATAGAGGCAGTCAAAAACTGTTTAGTTTTGAGTGGGAAGACCCAGTAACAGGTCGAAAGAGGCAGTATGCTTGGACTAGGTTTCCCCAAAGATTTAAAAATTCACCTACCCTTTTTGGTGAAACCTTAGCCTCAGACCTAGAAGATTTCCAGCCTTGTGAAGACGGAGATGTGCTACTCCAATATGTAGATGATATCTTAGTAACCGGACAGAGGAAGGAGACTTGTTGGGAAAATACCAATCAACTACTTCATCTGTTTATGGACAAGGGATATCATGCCTCAAAGCAAAAAACTCATCTGGTAAAGCCCCAAGTTAAATGTGTTGTGAACCAGCAGGAGCCATTGGAGCTACAAACAGACTCCGATAGCGAGGGACCCTATGAGTCAGCTCTGGAAGATGTGGAGGACCCTGGACAGGGTTCAGACTCCGAGCAGGGACCAAAGACGCTGGTTGGCCACCAGGAGGCGCCTGAGGCATGGAGCAGCGGTGAAAGCCAAAGGGAGTTTGTCCCTGACGTCAGGCCCTGGAGCAGTGGTGAAGACGTCAGGCCCTGGAGCAGTGGGGAGGAGCTAAGGGAGGTGGTCCCGGAGGTCAAGCAAAGATGGGCAGATAAGCGCCGACAGCAACTACGGAGATATAGAAGATAATTGGGGCCAGGTGGTTGTGATTAGGCTCCTCCCAAGAGAGTATATAAGAAGAGACTTTGGGAGGAGACCTTTTGCAGGACACAACCATTATACTAAAGCTGGAGAAGATCTTGTGTGTATTTCTTATCTGTGGAAGTCTGGGTTGCTGCCAAAGTCTTGTCGGTGTGTTAATTTACTGTGAATAAATTGTCTAGCAGTAATCTTGTGTCGGCGTGACTCACCGTATGGAGGGGGGGGTCAGAACACTTAGGGTACACCATAAGTCAAGGACAGAGGGCAATAGGACACGAGCGAAAAGAAGCTGTGTGCCAAATTGCTGAACCAACGACTAGGAAAGAGTTACGGGGATTTGGGGGCGTGGCAGGATATTGCAGGATATGGATTCCAAACTTCACGCTTCTAGCCAAAGCTCTTTACGAGTCCACGAAGGGGGGTGAAAAAGAACCCTTTGTTTGGGGTTTAGAACAGAAATGGGCGTTCGAAGCCCTAAAGTCAGAATTATCTCAGGCTCCGGTAATGGGACTCCCCAACCTGGAAAAACCCTTTAATCTCCTTGTGGACTCAAAAGGCAATACGGCTCTGGGAGTCCTGACAAAAGAAAAGGGAAGTTGGCAACAACCTGAGGCTTATCTATACAAACAGTTGGATTGCGTCGCAAAAGCCTGCCCACATTGTCTCAAAATCCTGGCCACTACGGCTCTCTTGATGGAGGAAGCTAATAAATTAACCTTCAGGCAGCCTACCACTGTCTATACCAGCCACGCAATTCAAGGAATCTTAGAGACAAAGGGCCATTTATGGTTAACAAACCCCAGGATTTACAAGTATCAGGCTCTCCACAAGTAACCTTAAAACAAACAAATGCCCTAAATCCAGCCAGTCTCTTGCCAATACCGGGACCTGAATTTGAGCACAACTGTATGCAAGTCATTGAGAGCCAATTTTCGTGCAGGCCGGACTTAACGGACGTACCGTTGAAACCTGCAGACCATAACTTGTTTACCGATGGGTTGAGCTTCATTACTACGGGAGAGCACTATGCAGGCTATGTGGTAGTTTCTCTTGACCGAGTCATAGAAAGCGTACCCCTTCCAAAAGGTACTAGCGCCCAAGTAGCAGAATTGTGGGCTTTGATCAGGGCACTAGAAAGGACAAAGAATGAGAGAGTGAACATTTGGACTGACTCCAAGTATGCCTTCCTTACCTTGCATGTCCATGAAGCCATTTATAAGGAAAGAGGTCTTTTAACGGCCTCAGGAAAAGAAATTAAACACCCCTTCCTAATTGAGAGGCTCATAGCTGTTGTCAAAATGCCAAATGTTAAGGAAAAGATAACCAAGGTGTGTCTTGAAACCCACCTTAAATGGGTAGACGCCTTACCCTTGGCTCTCTGGTCTGTAAGATGTACTCCACGTAAAGGACTTAAATTATCTCCTTTTGAAATGATGTTTGGACGGCCACCAGTTATAAGCCCTAATTTGAAAAATCATGTAGGGGACCTAGGACAGCTGGGGACCTCATGGGTGAATCAAATGGTGGGAGGGTTAAATAAGCAAATACAAGAAATCCAACTGCACTGTGTTTCTCTCACCCCACCATTTCTGATGACTTCTAGTCATAATATTCAGGTGGGGGATAGAGTTTGGGTGAAACACTGGAAAGGGGAGGATCTAAAACCTAGATGGAAGGGCCCGTATACTGTAGTTATGTGTTCTCCGCTTGCAGTAAAAGTGTTAGAATCCAAGTCTTGGATTCACTGGACCCGTGTTAAGCCAGCCGCCGAGGGGTACTGGGAAGCTGACTGGGACGAAGCCCGTCCTCTAGTGATACGCTTAAAGAAACACCCCCTATAACTGTCCTACCGGCAACGGGTAGCCTACTTACGGGGCAGAAGAGGCCCTACTGAAGTCACCCTTGGAAGCTGACTTCTCTATGTATGACTGAAGATTTGAAGGAGGAAGACAATGTTCCAGTTCTTAGATATATGATGAATTAGAAAGTTTGAGCACCTGTCAGGGTATGGCAGTTCATGCCTTTATGGTCTCTTGTTTTTGTAAGTGTGCTTACCCTTACTTTGATTTGTTATATTGGGTATTCATTCTTCGGGAATTGCCCCCTCCTGAAAAGACAGGTGCTGAGGCTAAAATCATTAATTGTGATCAAGAGGAAAACAAATGATCTGATGACACTTATGTTTGAGGAACCGTGGGAATGGGTTCTTTGCAGTATAATAGGAGTTTTCAGATTGTTTAGCAAATAAGATTTGGTTTTGTGGATTGCTCAAAGCTGATATTGCCCTTCCTCAAACTATATATAACCCCTGCCTTCTCCCTGACGTGGTGATTCAGTAGGCTAAAAGAATTGTGTTAGGAGAAGGAAGAATGAAAGTTGGAGGGGGTTGAAAGAGGGTGTATGGCGGGCCAAGGTGGTATACTGGGTTTGTATTGTAGAGGACATTTTCTATATAAGTGAGGGCCGTGTTTATTATTCAATGTTATATGCCCTGATTAAGCACAGTGAATATGTGATTGTATAGAATGAAAACATAATAAAATATATATATATAAAAAAAAAGCTAAAAAAAATTTAATAGACATAACGACAAAAAAAAAAAAAAAGAAAAAGATAAAAAAAAAAGAATTGTGTTAGGAGAAGTT